GGAAGAGAAAGGATGAAAATTATAGATAAATGACAGTGATTTTTTTGAAGTATAAGAATAGAATGAACAACTAAATGCAAATGTAAATTTAGAAGAAATAAACATGTAAAAATATAAATTTACTTATAACTGTTAATAATTGTTTAAAAATATTAAGTGACATAAAATGAAAATATGCATTAAATGAAAATGGACCCATTTTCCCCTATACACATAAAAAATATCAGGCCCAAATAGTTTTATATATGAATCCTAACTCTCCTTTGTAAAAATGGATCATGTCTGTGCTACATAAACTCTTACAATATCAAGGAAAAGAATTAAAGATCCCTAAACATTTGAGAGGTTGGTATCAAAATCAGACAAGAACAAATGAGAAGTAAAGTCATCATTAAAGCACTTATAAATATATATGCAAATATCCTAAAAATAATTTATTAGTAACCAAATATAGAAAATGTATCATGACCAAGAAGGCTTATTCCAAGTATAGATGCTTTTTTTAAACATTGTGAAGTAAAAAGTCCTACAGTTACCTCAAAAGATGATTCAACATCTGTTTATGCTTCAAGTTCTTAATAAAGGAAGAACAGAAGTGATCTTTCTTAAAAAGGAAATTTCCTAGGAACCTATAGCAAACATCTTTTTAAAAAAAATAGTAACAGTTTTAGAAACATTTTTTTAAGTGAAGAATACAAAGCAAGGACCAAGGAATGCTGCTTTTACTGCCTCCATTCTGCAGGATGCTAGCAGTCCTACACAAAATGCTAGGAGAAGTAAGTAAAAGCTATAAAGTTTTGAAAGAAATAAATAAAACCATCTTTTATTGCTAAGTATCTACAATAAAAATTAACAAAAATAAAAACCTATAGATTAACCATTAGAACCTGTTGGAGATTAACAAGAAAACTTGTTATAACTCTTAATATATAAAATTAAATAGCATGTTTACACACAAGAAAATAATTATAAATTCTATATTTTGCTAACATAGCAGGAAAACCAAAAATAAACTTAATAATAGTTGTACAAAAATTTTATGAAAAAATATAAAACTTTGTGTTTTAGACATAAAATCAACTAAAATGAGAGTCATGCCATATTCATAGATAAAAGTAGTATAATTTTCTGAAATGGATACATTAATGTAGTCCTAATCAATCCTAATGACATCCTGAAACGTCTCTTCATGATACATGACTATTAATATAAAAGTTTATATGAAAATCATCTGGAAATACCCCTGATTTAAACAATAATTATATGAGATGATGGTGATGGTGGTGTAGAGCACCCACTATTTCAGTTATGATAAAGTTATATTAATTAAAACAAGATGCATTCATTAAAATGAAATGCAGTAGCACGGTTAAAAACAAATCCATGTATAAATTAGAACTCGTTATTTGACAGCAGGTTTATTAATACTTCATGGAGGGAAAAAAGAGAATTACGTGAGAACCGTGCCAGCCATAAGACAGGTAAAATTGAATGCCTACTTGATAACATATTCCGACTGGATTAAAGACACAAATTTGAAAATCTATCTTTAAAATACTTGAAGAACATTTTCATGACATGAGAATAAGGAAGTGTTTCCTAAGAGAAAGTAAATAAAACACATAGAAGCGTCCCCAAATCCTCAAAGTAAATATTGGTGAATTTGTTCATATTAATATTTTAAAACATAATAAATATCAGGAAAATATAAACCACAGACTGAAAAGTATTTGTAATACATATTAATAAGGGGATAACGTTCAAAATAAAGAACTCCCACAAAAATAACCCAAATGATAAACAACTCAAAAGTAAATGGTCGAAGAATATGAGTAAGAAACTTGAATTATGAATATATATATGAAAATTTACTGAGCTTTATTAGTAATCATGGAAATGCAAATTAAAACAATAATGAGATTCTTATACCCATGAGATTTTCAAAATTTAAAAAGTCCGAGGAGCAATTTCTCATACCTAATAAAGTTGATGGTACACATATATTATAACCCACAAATCCTACTTCTAGTCATCTATTTAAAGGAAGTGTAACACATGTGCACAAAAATGCAAAATGTTCTTTATCTCACTGTAATGTTGAAAATGTGGAAACAGTCTCACTAATTCTCAGTAATAGAACTGGAAAATAAACTGGGATTGATCCTACAACCAAATGCTGTTTAGTAATTAAAATGAATGATCTAGATCTCCATTTACTATCAATGTACAGTCAGTGTGAAAAATATAATGCTGATTGAAAAAAAGTGTTATAATTTATGCAAAATGTCAAAGCCTATAAAATAAGTCAGAGATCAACATATACTGTGTGATATCACTTATATATGGAATCTAAAAAATAAAACTAATGAATATAACAAAAAAGAAACAGACTCGCAGATAGAGAATAAACTAGTGGTTACCAGTGGGGAGAGGGATGGGGGAAGAGACGAGACAGAGGGGGATTAAGAGGTACACTTCTATGTTTAAAATAAAAAAGCTACAAGGATACCTTGTACAACACATGGAATGTAATCAATATTTTATAATAGCTATAAATGGAACATAATATTTTAAAGTGTTGAATCACTATGTTGTACACCTAAAACTTGTATAGTGTTGTATAATGACTACACCTCAATTAAAAAAAAAAGAATAGAATATATTTATGGCTATGCCTATACCTATGTCTACCTGTGAGTATGTCTACCTAATTATCTACCTACCCACCCAGCTATCAATCTGTGTATCTATATGACAAAATACTTGAAATGGTTAACTTTAGCCTCAGAGTAAGAATCAAATCTAAGATTGCATTTATTTGGTTATTAGAAAAGGGTACTGATGAAGGAAATATAGTAAGATGACATGTTAAAACTAGATGTGGGTCATCATTGTATGTATTTTTCATTTTATATATGAAGAGCATTTCATAATTTAAAAAATGCTTAGAGTGAGAGACACTTTATTGTTCAGATGAAAATGATATCTATATAAAAACCTGGTTTGAGTCACAGTTCTGTCCCTATGTGATTCATTATAATAAATAAGGTAATAGAACCTATGCCACCTGTGGTTTCAAAAATCTGTGCGATCCAATGAGAATTGGCATATCTGTGTGCAAATGGCTGTTATAAATTGTAAGGCACTGTATTAACTTAAGGTAACATTTCAAGCAGTATGTTGTGTATTTATATATACTGTAAGGTATTCTCACTGCTGAATTTAGGAATAAAACTAATAATAAGTTTTAGGACACCAAAGAAGATTCTTCAGCCATATTTAACTCAACAATAAGATGAAAAGATTAAAAACAAAAACTGTGAGGTTATGACTCTCTTATCTAAAGTTCACTTATCTGGACTATTTGGAACAAATCTGGAATAGGGAATTAAACATTAAAAAAAATGGGTCCAACTACATGGCATTCTGGAGAAGGCAAAACTGTAGAGACGTTTACAAGATCAGTGGTTGCCAGGGGCTCGAGAGGAAAGAATGGAGGAAATAATAAACAGGGACAGCCCGGGAGATTTTTAGGGCCATGAAACTATTCTGTATGACACTGCGATGGTAGTGCCACTACGTGTATGTCTGAGCACAACAAAGAAAGTGAACCCTAATGTAAATTACGACCTTTAGATAATAACGCTGTATTAATACTGGCTCATGAATAGTAACAGGTGTTGATCACACTAACGCAAGATGTTGTTAATGGAAGGGAGAGAGGGTGCTTGGGAACCCTGTACTTTCAGCTCAGTTCTCTACATTCTGAAACTCTCTAAACATGAAGTATATGAATTAAAAACAAATAAGCAAAAATGCACGGCACCTAAATTAGAACCACAGTACTCAGGCTCTAAGCAGATTTCCTTTCCACCGAGGCGAAGTGCTCAGGCGTTCTCTGAGGGCCTCTTTTTTTTAGTGTATGTAGTTTCATTGAAGTACAGTCAGTTTACAATGTGTCAACTTCCGGTGTACAGCATACTGCTCTTAGGGCCCCTTTATTCTTGGTTTAATTATAATTTTAACAGATGTACTCTGTTATAGTACGCCGATGTACTGATTTTGTATTTAAATTGTTAGTAGGGTACATTCGAGGAAAGAAGCAACTTACTTGTTTGTCATAACGGTTTTCACCTAGCAGTGAGAAGTGACATGTGAAGGCATAGCCTGTCTACTTAGCATTAGCTGCTTTCTGGCTGCCCTTGAACCTCCCCTGGAGAAACCACCCTTCCCCCGCAGACTTCCCAGGATCCATCAAGAACAGGATTAACGCATGTCATCACCAAAGACCTTCAAAGACCACTTCGGGCTGTGACTGGCGTCCCTTCTGATTGGTGTCTTTGCCTTGTTTGTTGTCAAATTTTTTGAATATTAAGCATGAACAGAAGAAGTCAAAGAGGCAGTGCGATCAGCAGAAACTTAGAGGAGAATGAGAGACCTACAAACACAGGTGGAAATGAAACCTCCAGTATTTGAAAATACCTGTAACTTTAGTTTGTGTAATGCTTTACAGTTCTCAAAGTGATGGTGCAATAATGAGTCATACAGAAAGGGTGAAATTACCTTCACATGCAATTTTTCTGATGCTTTAAAAGGACTTAAAGTTTTTTGGAAATAGTTTCATCTGATTTTTTTTTCTATTTTTAACATATGAATTGCCCACATCTCCATGAGGTCTTGTTCTGTGAGCTTTCATGTTGAACTCCACTGTAGTTCTTAATGTGAAGTTTAGAATGGCCTGTGTAAAGCTCTACGGTTCTGTGAGGCCAGCAATTGTATCTTATTTATCACTGTGTAACAAGCACCTAAAAAAGTGTCCACAGAAAGTTTTGAATACATAGTTGTCAAGAAAGTATAACCTCAGTTATCGAGTACAATTCAGTTGTTTGGAATTCTTTGTCCAGTGATATTAGATAAATAATTTCGAATGTTTTAAGAAAAAAAAAACCCAACAGCAGAATATAGAGAAATAAGTATCTTTAAATACTTTTTTTTTGCAGAAAAAAGAATTGTCAACATGCAAATTCAGACAGTCACGGAATTCAAAACAATTACTAATGTTGTTGGATATTTAAAGGGCTTGACTTCTCCAGGTAAGTAGAGCCAAGTGTTTATAATCTATACTTTCTATGAAACATCGCAAGAAAATGCTCCATAACAATTTAATAGCATAGTTAAATGTCCTACTTTAGATGTAACTACAAATTTATACCCCTCTAAGGTGTATCAATATGAAACCAAGAAACAGATCTTTATTCTCTTTCTTACCATATTTCTTCAAAAATAAATCATAGTGAAGAGAGTAGGGGGAAAAAAACAAAACAGAGAAGACAGGATAAATGTGTTAAACTGGTATGTACCTGTGAAACAAAGCTACAGAACCAATGTCTTTCTTTTATTCACTGTAACACCATTGAAGATTTTATTTTTATCAAGAGAAGACTTGAAAAAACTTTAATTTTAGTGATGTGTTTTTAGAAAATAAAAATTTTTGGTTTTCAGTTCTAATCTTTCAGTGTTAGTGCATCCTATCTCTGACCCTTGGTCTACCAATAATTCTGCCTGTTTGGGTAGCTTTAGGTTTTGAAGGTGCTTATGAAACGGATCACCTGGATACACTTTAAATAACTGTACACCTTGTTATGGTATTCTTATGGAATCTTCGGACAGTATTATATAGGTTAAAAAAGTGAAAATAACTGACAAACAGTAACTAAGAGATTAACGCAACACTTCTGAATACATTGTGAGGTTGAATGACATATCACTGATGTGGTTGTTATACTTAGTAGAATGAAACAGTTTTTTAGTGCATTTGTGCCACTTCGATTGATTTGGTTAGAATATTTACTCAAGTTTTCCTTGGAGGAGAAGTATTCTTTTCCATGACTTTGGTCAAACTAACTCCATAAGTGCTAGCCTAGGACATTTTGAGATCAAGTTTACATCCCTGCCAAGTTTCCTGCCAGCCAGCTCTTAAAAAATTTATGGACATGTTCTCTCTGATTTCCTAACAGTAGCAGTGTTGAACAGCCTGTGATCATAGTGTCTTTAAGTACAAGATACAAATGAATTTGGAAATTGTTACTGTTGCCTTTCAACCATTTCAACAAATTTCCATCATGAGGCTCTCTAATTGAAACACTGGGAGTGTTGATCATCATTGCTGCCTTTGCTAGTTATTTCTGAAAGACCAAATTGTACAAAATTTTACCAGCTTTGGGATAAAATAGCTTTCCTTATTAAAATTCAATGTAGAAAAGCACACATTTTTAAAATCAATTTACTAGTAGTATTCTTCAGTGTGTAATAGTATAAAGCTTCTTAATTTCATTTATTTGAGTTCTTCTCAAAAATATTGGTTGTTCATTCACATGAGTTTCCTGTTTAATGACTCTGAAAATTAGAAACAATCATCAATTAGTATTAAGGTTTTTAGATATGATTTATCTAGAATATAGACAATTCCAAACAGAACTTTCACACTTCTGGGAGATGAGTGAATCAGTTCAACATCACAGGCACACTGTGTATTCCACTAATTAAATTTTGATAAATTGTTGACAAATGAAATTCATTGTTGGTTCCAGTATCAGTGTGGAAAACTAAGATAGTTTCACACAGTGATGCTTCCCATAAAGTATCTTTTTGATGAAGTCAAGGGGTGATTGATTTATTCTACACATGTGTAGTGCTTGTTAAAACTGAAAAAAACTGAATGTTGTAAGTACTATTTTTATTCCCATTTTGTGGTTGATGAAGTTAAAGCATAGAGAGCTTAAATAAGCTTTCCAAGGTCATACAACTGTTACCCTAAAAGGGTTCTTGTCTTGCCCAAAAGAGAAGAATTCAGGCAGGAGACCAAGTGTTGTGTAGTGAAAGATCGAAAGATTTTATTAGCAAAGTGAAAATACACCTCCAAGAGCAGAAGGCAGGCTGGTCCAAGAGTGGATAGCAGTGGTCTTTGTTGGTCCCTACTCATACCCTCGCTTAGAGGCAGTCTCTTAATTGATTCACAGCTCTTGCTCCTGGAGTGCTTAGTCATGCCCGTCCCCTTTTGCACATGTCCTTACCCATGATGCACACAGAAAAGCCCATGGGGTTGGGGGTGACTTAAGTGCAATGCTAGTTTTATTACAGTGAGCACTGGGTCATGTCTGATGAGGTCCTGTCGCCACCCTGCAGTCATGGCTGTTGGATTCTAACCAGTTTCTTGCTGGCACTCATATAGTGGAAGTAAAGCCCCTAATGCTGAAAGTTGGCATATCACCATCTTCCAGACCATCCTCCCTCTCCTCCACCTTATCTGCCCAGTGCCCCCACTTATCTAACTGCCTAACACCACAACTAGTAAGTTGAATAGCCTGGATCCAAACCCAAGCAGGAGGGCTTAAAACTCTGCACACTTCACTATCAAGCAATGGGACATCTCCTAATGAAATAACACTTAATGAAGAAATCTTTTTACAGAGATGTAGAGGGTTACTGGGTCAAGTAAATTTAGCTGTGTTCCAACAACATTCACTGACAACAAAATCAGAGGAAACTCTGGAGATTGACTTTTAGTCTCCCTTATTATTGACAAGAGTCAGTCACGTACATTATACTGAACCCATCCATGTGTCACGGAGATCTTTCTAATAGTGTATCTAATAGATTTTGTAAGATTATATAAAATACAATATGTGAGAAAGAAATGTTTACAGTAGTTGGATAACTTTTGATGAGATTTTTTTTTTCCGTCAGGAAAAGGAGAGGGGTTACAACTATAAGTTGGAAGCAGAAACTAATTCCCTAAATACTTCATTGATTGCAAACTCCATACGTGACTACCACATTTTTAATATTTACAGCCACTGAGTAACTGCTCCCTCAAATGTATTAATAGTTCATTAATATTTACTGAGCACATACACATCGTTTACAGGGCATTTCCCACTATGATTCTGGGAAAATGTTAGATAAAGGTTTCATTGTGGCATATTTGTATACTTCATTAATTAATATGCATGTTGCAAAGGACAGTAATATGGATCTAAGCTTTGGATTCATAATTGAGTTCAGCAGCTGCCTCTGCTTTGATATACACAGATGTGTGAATCAAGACAGTGGTGAAAAATGTTAAAGTAGTCTTAATTATTAGAACAGTTTTGCATAATTGTTGCTCAGTTGTGCAATAGGATTATGTAAATGTCATTAAATTTATTGTCAAGGTTTACATTTTGTTTTAATGGCTCTTGTCTCCTTCTATTTCCAGACCGTTATATCATAGTTGGCAGCCACCATCACACCGCATACAGTTTTAACAGCCAAGAATGGGCCAGTAGCACTGCCATAATCACAGCTTTTATCCGGGCCTTGATGTTAAGAGTTAAGAGAGGGTGGAGACCAGACCGCACTATTGTTTTCTGTTCATGGGGAGGAACAGCTTTTGGAAATATTGGCTCATATGAATGGGGAGAGGTAAATGTACCTAAATTGCTGTGCTTCACTTTCGTAACTGCACGCTCACCTTCGCACGTGCTTGCTCACTCTCTTTCTCTCTCTCTCTCTCTGGACTAAAGTAGACGAAGTAAAATTGATAAAGCCATGAACAAGAATGTGTATCTCAGCCAGGGTGTCTTGTATGCTAATTTGCTGAGATCACCTCTAAGAATGATAGAGAATTAGACTACAGTGAACTGTGCATGGTCTGCAACTACCTTATTCTTGTAGCTACCAGAGCTGCCATATACCTACAGTGGTGTTTACCTGGTTATTGTGTTTCTCCTTGGCTTGATAGTGCCTGGACAAGAAAGGATCAAGTGGCATACGCTATTACCTTTTTTTTTTTTAAACTTTCTAGCAATTTTCTGTAATGAGGAAACAATCTTGCACGTTAAATATTGATTAACTTAGCCTTATATCTCACCTATCCAGTACAGAGATTGGACTCAAAACAGTAGTTTCTTTCCTTTCTGCCTTCTGTTCTCCTTCCCTTCAGTCCTTTCTTCCTCTATTCTTACACCCCTACCTCCCTGCTCCTTCTTTCCCACTTACAGCTCTACCTGAGTCTCCTTACCTGCCTGCCTACCTACCTAACTTAGGAAGCGTTTGTTCAAGTGAAATCTTGCATGCAGTGGGTCACAGTTAGAATACAACTGGAATAATTAAGTTTCAAATGCTTCTGATATGTCTGAGTCTCACAAATGCACTGTGTTTTAATGGAATATGACAATTTTGGGTTGATGTCATATTAACCACAATAAAAACACCATAAAACTCTTAGACTATTTACTTTTATGATTTTTTAAAAAGAATTTTAATGCAGATATGTAGGAAGAAAACACAAGTTTAGTTAGGAAGATGAAACTGATATTCCCGTTTGTTCTCTACCTCAGCTTCAGAGGGAGAAAAAAAGACCAAGTATCTAATGGGAAATTCTTTTTAATTTAATCACTCAAAAAAAAAAGATGTCTATTGGCTCTCAATAAAAATCCAAAAGTTACATAAAAGAAAATAGCAAGTATCTTTTTAATTTGAAGGCAAGAAGTCTTCAAAATGAGAAAAATATTACAGTTGCAAAGTTTATCAAGATTCACACATTGCAAATTGAAATGCTTTTCCACATTCAAATAGTGGCATGAACGTTTGTTCCATTACTCAAAAGAACTAATTCAAATAAAGAAATTCCATTGCTGGAAAAACCTATTATAATTGATAAATTTTTAGTGAGATAGAAAATGTAATAGCTCAACCAATCTCCCAAACTTCTATTCCAAACTACTTACTTTAAGAATATAAACAATTTAAAAAACAATTTGTGGAGTGTATTTGTGATCTGGGCTGATTTTAGTAATTAAGAAATTTTATCATAAAGAAAACCATGTTTTAGTTTTCTTGTAACAATAAGGCACATTTTAAGAAAATGTCTTGAAGATTCTTTCCATACACATATATACTGGTCAAATGGAATTTATAGTGGTAGAGTTATTAGAGATTTGATTCAGTACTGATCTTGATCCTTGAGGAAAATTAAAACATTTTACTAAGTAGGTTCTTTAAAAGGTATCATTTCTTCTGTGAAGAATCTTCATCTTCAAGCTGTTGTGGAAACACTAGATTTTACAATCAGAGGAATCTGAGTTCAAATCCTCTCTGCCATAAAGCACGTGGTCTTAGGCAGGATTAACTTCTCCAGGACTTGATTCCTCAAATGAGTGTATTAATGCCTTTGTTGTGAGGGTCTCCTGAGAATTAGATGGGACTGACATGTAGATTTTGTCACTGTGGTAGTGTGTGTGAAAATAGAAGCTATTTTTCTATAGCTCTTACGTCATAGTAGACATTTTTAATAGGAATATTATGTGTAAAGCAGAGTAATTAAGCTTTGAAGTTCATCATTTCTATTTAAAGTATTCATTTTTAAATGAATTGTCTTTTCATCTCTTTTACAGAGAGATGGCTGAATTTTCAACAGAAAATAGGGATAATATTAGTGATTTGCTAGGTGGTCAAGTCTTGCAGTCTTTTCATCTGATAGTATTGGAAGAAGAAAGATATGTTTCTAAGACATGAATTAATACAGTTTTTAGGATATTTCTATAGGATTGCCACCATGATAATTATTCACTAAATGTGCAAGAAAAGGAGAAAAATAACGGAGGGACTTCTTAGTAGTACTTACTAATGGGATCAGTGGTCTTCAATTTTTGGAAGCAGGGTTTAGCAGGGAAGTGGAAAAATTCTTCTACCGAATTATTTTATGCTAGTAATGTGGGTGAAATGCATCAGGCTTATTTCAGATAATATGTGCAGGGCCACAATTATATTATGCCCTATTTTACTCAGAATACAGAGCTTCTTGGTATGAAAGTAGCTCAATTCTTCAAAGGAAAGGGCTGGTTTTATTAAATACCAAAGTGACTTATCCATGTCTGTTCTCTGGTTCAATGACTAAAATTAAATGCTGAAGCTAGAGCAAATATTTCCTTCTGTATTCTGAAGTTGAATCTCGTCCTATATTCACCATTTAAGAACAATTTTCTAAAAATTTACTTCTTTCCGGAACATGCTTTAAAATATTTTGTCTTAGGTTATAGGTAACGCCTCACCACCATTATTTAAGTTTCCTTTATGACTCTCGTGTACTCTATTAAATAGTATGGGATTGCTTTAAAGGAAAAAAAAGTATTATGCAGTGTAATGATTTTAAATAGGAAGTTTTCATTATTCAACAAATAATTGATAAAGTGGAATCTCGTACGTATGCTAAAGAGAGATTTTTTTTTTAAATTTCAGGATTTCAAGAAGGTTCTGCAGAGAAATCTTGTGGCTTATGTTAGTCTCCACAGTCCTGTAAGGAGTAACTCGAGTCTCTACTCTGTAACTTCACCGTCTCTTCAGCAGTTGGTAGCTGAGGTAAGGTGAACCACTTTTTACTAAAATGATTATGCAGAACTGCCTTTTTCTCTATAATCTGGAATTTCTTGATGCTTAAATTTTTGTTAATGCATGAAGCCATCTGTAAGTGTTTTAAGGAATGATCTACTACTGATTATTTATCAGCGTCTCTTTAACCAATTTCCTATGTTCTGAAATTCTTATGGCTACAGTTGTAGGTATGAATTATCCATTTATAGAGAGTGTGTGTAAAATGTAAATTTATTTCTAAAAAATTGAATTTAGCTCTCAAATTCCCAATTTTGTCTATCTTGGTGTGTTGTAGTAAACTTGATTACTTTTGGATTTCTTCCCCTTCATTCATGGTTTGAGTAAAGGTGGGACCTTTGCTATCTTTTCAACTACGTTTTAAGTTTCATCATAATAGGGTCTTTGTCTAATTCCTGGAATGCTGTGATAACTAAATTCAAGATACTTAAAAAATACTGTTTAAAAAACGTTTTTGGGAAAAGGAAAGAATGCATTTTCTTACAAAGTAACTTGAAAAAAAATCATGCAGTTTGTGATAATGTCTCACTAGGGTTATTTATTTCTTTAAATTGAGTCACTTCTCGCCTCTTCCAAAGAACTTTTCAGAATATCCTTACTGTTTTATTCGTAGAGTTCATGCTTTTACTTCTGCATTCTTTGTATGACTTTCAGTAAAACAGTATGTGTTACTTCTCAGAATGAAAGCAGTCATGCCACTACTGGAGGGTGGTTTCCTCCCAACCCCTTTTGGCGTATGTTAAAAAATGACCTTTTCGATGCCCACAGTTTCCGGTATAGCAGACATTGAACTAGAAAAAAAGAAGAGTTAATGGACAGTGCTTTGGATTAGCCATAATTCTTGATTGAAATGTAATGCAAACTAACATTTTATGACTTTCATAAAGTATTTTCTAGTTTAATAGTTTTCATTGACATTTCCGTATGTAGTGTAATAAAGAAGACGTTATAAAAGATGAAATGGATAAATCTGTACATTTAAGATCAGCTAAACCCCAGTGTGTGTGCCCTAAATTGTATCCAGATCTGTACGTGAGTTCCTCCTGCTCTTTGTACTGCTTTGAATTCTCTGACTTCCTTACGTGCCTGGAAAAAACTCAAAAGAGAAAAATCAGGTGCACTGTCTCCCTTGGGGAGTTAAGACATTCCTGTATAAGCAGGTGATCAGAATGAAGAAAATATGGGCTCAAATATCCAGAAATTAGGGAGAGGTAGTTTAAAAATTACATCTTCTCTTTCTTCTTTGCTACAATTTTTCTATTTGAGAATCTAGGAAGATATGTAATCATTGAAATTCAGAGGTAAATAGAAATTAACTATGAAGGAGTATCAAATCTATAGCAGTGTCTACCTATAGAAATAGCACATCTAAAGAAATGTCCCTAAGTATAAAGCTATTTAAAATATCTTAGTACATCTCATAACAGAGGACTGTAAAATATTTTTCTATCTCAACCTAACCATCTGAGAGTACAGCATGGTTTCTCAATTATGGCAGATGTACCTCCTTATTTTGGGGGATAGGAAAATCTCCCACAATAACTTGTATGATTTGATTAAAATAATTTAGCACTTGTGGCTTTTAAAGGAGAGAATAAAATGTTTCTTTCAAAGAAAGAATTCAATTATAACATCAGAACATAAGTGACTTCACTTACAAACACAAAAATATTTTTCTCAATCTTAAGGTCTTTATATTTCATCATTTCATTTAGATTGTTACCATGTATAAATGACGTGTCCCATATAATCGTATGCAACCCCCCCAAAATAATCAAACAAAAACAAATTAAATATAATTCTACATGGAACAACATTTTCTATAAAGAATGCATGCTGACTAAATTGTGGATGACAATAGTCTGTATGAAATATTAAGTACTCTTGTATAGCAATGTGTGGATTCTAGAAGATCTTGCCAAGTTCATGTATGGACTTAAATGTCAGGTGGAATCTTTAAGGAATTACTATACAGTACCACATTTTTTTAAACTGGATGCGTATAGAATATTTTAATGGATCACAAGCTTGAAAAAACCCAAAAATGTGAAAAGGTTGCCCTTAGGCAAACACCAGTTCAAACTTCATTAATAATATGCTATCCCACTTAAGGAAGATGGTCGTCTCACTGTACTTGATCCATCAGACACTTTGCTATGGTGTTCTTTTTATTTAAATTACACTTACTGGATAAATTGAGTTATAGTTTACATAAAATAAAGTTCTCCCTTCTTACATGTACAGCTTTATGAATTTTGACAAATGTATTCATTCAGTTAAATACCATCACAATCAAACTATACAGTGTTTCATCACCCACCCAAAAGTCCTGTAATACTCCCCTGCATTCTGTCTCCTCCCTTTGTCTCTAGTTCCTCACAAACACTGATCTGACTTTTGCCCTTATAGTTTTGTCTTTCAGAATATCATAAAAATGGAATCATACAGTATGTGGCCCTTAGTGTGTGGTTTCTTTTACTTAGCATAAAGACTTTTAAGATTTACACATGTTGTTACGTGCATCAATAGTTCTACAGCATCCTGTAGATCACTAAGGGAACAGTCAGTCATGACCAGGATGAATGCAATACCTTTGGAGCTCTCCCTCTGGTTCGATGTTCTAACTTTGGTTTTGAAATGAGGACAAATTAAACTGTTGACGTTAAGAAAATAAGTCACTTCCCTGAGATTGGGCCCCAAGTTTGAACTAAATCATCCTAAGTGGGAAAAGGTGAAAACTTTTGAAGATTCAGAAATGTTTAATTAAACTAAATCCACTGCCAGTGATTATAGGTTTTTCTTGGAATTCATGAAAGATTGACTTTAAAAAAATTGTCTGAAGAACAGTGAAAAGCTATTTACGGGTAATAGGAACTTGAGCATTCATTGTACTGCACTCTCTTCTTTTGGGTTTATTTGGAAATTTTTATTATAACTTGAAAAAATAGCCTCAAAAATCCTTAATTTTTGTAAGTTACAACACTGATAACTAATATTTTTTCTTTGGAAAGTACCAGTAATCTACCAATGACTTACCCATTGAGTGGTAATATGGGCAATAACCAAGGCTTTTATATTGACGTTTTTAGCTAGTACTTTTATTACTATTTTGAATATACTTTTCTATTTCCTTTGTGCTACAAATATTTTTAAAAAAATAAAAATAATTAATTCACTTAAAATTAGCTTATAAAATAAAAAAGAATATGAAAAGGAATATATATGTATATGTATAACTGAAACATTATGCTGTACACTAGAAATAGAGACATTGTAAACTGACTTTACTTCAACAAAAAATTTTTTAATTAGCTTATAATTTTTAGAATTAAAAAACTCAATTCAAAAAACTATAAAATTAATATTAATATTTCTTTAAAACTCCCCATTTTAAATTATAAAATTATATATGTTTTAAATTATAAATTAACTCCTTTGTAAAAATATTAATTTCATATTAATATTTTACTTCATATTTTATTTTACTCTGAAAAATACAGGGAAATAATTCTTAAGTGTTATAATAGTCATGCTAAAATGTACATTACAGGTATCAAAAATATGTCAAGTGTATAAAACAGTATTTTTGACAAAATCTAGTAAAATATTCACAAATCAACTTTTTAGTTTAAAAAATATCATCTATTCCTTAAAAAATTAAAAAAGAGTTACCATGTGATTCAGCCTCCCACTCCTAGGCATATATCCAGAGAAAACTCTAATTTGAAAAGATACATGCACCTCAATGTTCAAAGCAGCACTATTTACAACATCCAAGACATGGAAGGAACCTAAATGTCCATCAGCAGATGATTGGATAAAGAAATTGTGGTATATATATACAATTGGAATACTACTCAGCCATAAAAAATGAAACAATGCCATTTGCAGCAACATGGATGGACCTAGAGAGTATCATACTAAATAAAGTAAATCAGACAGAGAAAGACAAATTATTATATGATGTCATTTAAATGTGCAATCCAAAAAAATGACACAAATGAACTTATTTACAAAACAATAATAGACTGGCAGACATAGAAAACAAACTTATGGTTACCAAAGGGGAAAGGAGGGGTGATAAATTAGGAGTTTGGGATTATCAGATACAAACTACTATATATAAAGCAGATAAACAGCAAGGTACTATTGTTATAGCACAGGGGACTATATTGCATAGTTTGTAATAACCTATAATAAAGAAGAATATAAAAAATAAATATATATGTATAACTGAATCACTATGCTGTACAGCAGAAACTAACACAACGTTGTAAATAACCATACTTCAATTTAAAAAAACTCTCATCTACATGGTAATGTAAGAGATTCAGATATGAATCTCCTAGTTTTTACTCTGTGGTTCATGGTCATTCGGATTTGGATAATTCTTTCCACTTTTCAGCTATAATGAGTTAGTTGTTAGGATTATTCTTTTGTTTTGGTGGAATGTGTACACTCATTTGTCTCTGATATTTATCTAGCAGTGGAATTGCTAGGTCACAAGGTAGGCACATGTTTAACTTCAGTAGATGCTGCCCAAGAGTTTTTCCAAAGTACTTATACCAGTTTCACTACCACCAGAAGTATGTATGAATGTCCCGGTTGCTCCATGTCATCACCAACATTTTGCATTATCATTCTCATTGATGTATGGTGGTATATTTTTAGGTTTTAATTTTAATTTCTCTGATGATTAATGTTGAACACCTTTTCACATACTCTTTTTCATATCCATTTGTAAGAGTTCTTTATATATTCTTGATATAATTCTTTTGTTGATTGTATATTGTGAATTCTTCTACTAGCCTCTGGCTTGACTTTTCACTCTCCTATTCATCACTTTATTAATTTTTATTAATCTTTCTTATGGAACACTTCTAAATAGCATTTATTGTTCCAGTATCTTATAACACAGAACATGGTAAATTTAATTTAATCTAGTGTTGATTCTTAAGGAACATTATAAA